CAAAAACTTGACCAAAAAAAAAAATAAATGAAAAAAGTGATAAAGTACAGGTAGTCCTCGACTTAGAACAGTTCGCTTAGTGACTGTTTGAAGTTACAATGGCACTGAAAAAAGTGCCCCCCAAGCCATAGCCGAGCAAGACACCTGCCTGCCCACCCGGCGGTGCTCTTCCTTCTGTTCGAGGTTTTCATTGTTGTGAGCATTTCTGTCGAGGATTGGCAGTGGGGGTGGGGTGGGGGGTGTTTGGTTTTTATTCCCCCCGTCTGCTGGATGGTTGAAGCAGGTTTTGGTCACTTCATATGACTCTGGGACACTGTGACCATCATAAATATGAATCAGTTGCCAAGCATCTGAATGTAAATCACAAGACCCTGGAGATGTTGCAACATTCCAGCTGATCGGCGCTTCTTCTGGGCTCAGCAGAAGCACCAGGATCAGTGCCGAGCTCCAGCTGGAGCCTGGCGCTGATCCTAGCGCTTCCGCTGAGCCCTGACACCCCCGAAGAAGTGCCGATCAGTTGGAAAGTGGCACTGATCCTGGCGCTTCCGCTGAGCCCTGACAGCCCTGCAGTTCCAGCCATCTCTCGCTCAGGCTTGTGTGGTGCTGCCACCGGTTCGGCTCATTCCCCTCCCCCGCTACCACTTTTCTAGGATGGTCGCGTACCACTGCCAGGTGCCAATGTACCACAGGTGGTACCCGTACCACTGGTTGAAAAGCCCTGATCTAGTCCAACCCCCTGCTCAGCCAGGAAACCCTATACCATTTCGGACAAATGGCTATCCAGTCTCTTCTTTAAAACTTCCAGCGGCATTCACCGCTCCTGAAGGCAGGTTGTTCCACTGGTTAATTGTTCTAACTGTCAGGAAGTTTCTCCTTAGTTCTAGGTTGCTTCTCTCTTTGGTTAGTTTCCATCTGTTGCTTCTTGTCCTGCCTTCAGGCGCTTTGAAGAATAGCTTAATTCCCTCTTTGTGGCAATTCCTGAGGTATTGGAATACTGCTATCATGTCCCCCCTCATCCTTCTCTTCATTAAACTAGACATACCCAATTCCAGCAACCGTTCTTTATATGTTTTATCCTCCAGTCCCCAATCATTTTTGTTGCTCTTCTCTGTACTCTTTCTAGAGTCTCAACATCTTTTTTACATCGTGGTGACCAAAACTGGATGCAGTATTCCAAGTGTGGCCTTATCAAGGCATTGTAAAGTGGTATTAATACTTCACGTGATCTTGATTCTATCTCTCTGTTAATGCAGCCTAGCACCGTGTTGGCTTTTTTGGCAGCTGCAGTACACTGCTGACTCATATTTAAGTGATTGTCTACTAGGACTCCAAGATCCCTCTCACAGTTACTACTATTGAGCAAGGTACCCCCTATACCAGTGATGGCGAACTTTTTAGAGACCGAGTGCCCAAACTGTAACCCAAAACCCACTTATGTATCATCGGGTGCTGGGTGGGCATGGCCCGTTGGGTGAGTGTGGCCCATTGAGTGGGTGTGGCCCATTGGGTGTGCGTGGCTTCAATGGTAATGGCAGGCTGGGTGGGACTAAAACGTTCAATAAATCAATTCCAACTTTGCGAGATCTTTTTTTTCCCTGCGAGAAGTTGAAATTGATTGATTGAACCTTTTTTTTTTTTGCACACGGCGGTGGAGGCCTAAAGTGAAAAGGTTTTATATAACCCAGCTGAAGGTCTAGGACTGGGGCGATGGCTCACGTGCCCACAGAGAAGGCTCTGCGTGCCACCCGTGCCATAGGTTTGCCACCACGGCCCTATACTATACATGTACATTTGGTTTTTCTTGCCTAAATGTAGAACCTTACTTTTTTCACCATTGAATTTCATTTTGTTAGATGAATTTCATTTTGTTCAAGTCTGTCCAGATCCTCCTGTATCTTAACCCTGTCTTCTGGAGTATTGGCTATTCCTGCCAGCTTGGTATCATCTGCAAATTTGATGAGTTCCCCATCTATCCCCTCGTCCAAATCATTGATGAATATGTTGAAGAGCACTGGGCCCAGAACAGAGTCCTGGAGCACCCCACTACACACTTCCCTCCATGTAGATGTAGTTCCATTGAGGACCACACGCTGAGTATGGCCGGTCAGCCAGCTACGAATCCATCTGGTGGTGATGCTGTCTAATCCACATTTTTCTATCTTATCAAGTAGTAGGTTGTGATCTATTTTATCAAATGCCTTACTGAAGTCCAAGTAAATTATATTCACAGCATTCCTCTGATCTACTAACTACCAGTGGAACAACCTGCCTCCAGAAGCGGTGAATGCTCCAACACTGGAAGTTTTTAAAAAGAAACTGGACAGCCATTTGTCCGAAATGGTATAGGATTACCTGCTTGAGCAGGGCGTTGGGCTTGATGACCTCCATGGTCGCTTCCAACTTTATTATTATTATTATTATTATTATTATTATTATTATTATTATTATTATTATTATTATTATTATTATTATTATTATTATTATTATTATTATTATTATTATTATTATTATTATTACAAGGACTAAGTTATGGGAGAACTGGAAGCTACTTCAATTGATTACAGGATT